CTTTTGTCTTTTCTTAATTAAATATTATTATATTAAAACAAATTGGTCCAAACTATTAGCTGCATATTGAATACACAATAAAAATGTTTTTTTCCGTGAACTATAGTGAACTTATTAGCCGATTCATTTAATTATTTGTGTTTTTCTTAAACAATTATTTCACTACATATACAGGGTGATCTGTGAACAGCGAAGTAGCGGTAATCAACGAATAAAAAAATGATGAAAGGAAAGGAAATAAATTGCATACAACAAGACCGTACTAATCCATTATTTATTGGGCTGGCAAATTGTTTAACCACAACATAGCAGGCCAAACAGTTACGTTAATATAATTTATTTACATAAAACAGTACAATAAGCACTACTGCACAACGCCGACTGCAATGTGACAAATAGTGCCAACATTGGATTAAAAAGATGTATGACGAGGGGTCCTTACTGTGCTTGTCTTCAAAGGTTCTCATTTTCACAGCTTCTCAATCGCATTTATTATTTTTACATAAAAAAAAAAACCTGAAGAAATGAGACCGAAACGCGACAAGCACGCAGAACGATACATGACACCGGGCTATAATCATTATTAATCCATAATATGACAAGAAAACAGGTACGTCTAAAATATTTACACGATGAAAAAGGTATATTTATAGGATAGGCGAAAATATTGTTCGTTAAAAATGCACAATTCGAACTCTTCGCACATGTCCCTGTGTGATGTAACCGTTTACGTCACTCTAAAAGAAAGCACATCTCAAACAAACGAAAATTTTTTTAAAAAATATCATGCACGAATTAAGCTTTTTCTGTAGTTCTAAAAGGAAAAACTCACATTTCATTTGAACACCTAACATACGTATTAAGTACATAAAAAAAATCTAGTGTATTTTATTATCTCCAGTTTCTCCGACCCTCTAGTGCAAGACAGGAGAGTATGGCGGAAGTACATTCAAAATATCTATCCCTCGCGTTATATGTTCAAAAACCAATTTTTCTTTTTGGCTGAGACGTGTATTTCTTTAAGTCAAGAGACAAGAACTTAAAGATAATTGATAAAGCTCTTTTTTTACATTAAAATCACTACAAAATAAATAAGCTGACATACATACACACATTTATATCCGTCAAAAGACAGCAGAAATAAATAATATTACAAAAATATAATCAATTTCTTTTTCTTCTTTTTTCCTTTTTAAAACACGAAACACTTCACACCTTCAGGGCATCTACAGCCACATTTTTTTCACTCTCTCTCTCTTTCAATAAAATGTTCGCTCATCAATCAATACATTATAAAAAAAAACAGATTAGGTACTAATAATGGGTTAGAAAAGTACATAAAGAAACATTTCTATATTTAAAAGTAAAAAATTGTAATATATATACAGGGTGACGCAAAGTGTACTATACAAAACTGATACCTAACGAAACGTATCTATCATCGTAAAAATGCCTTCAACAAAATATGGCCTTACATAACATGAGGTATGTAAAAATTACAATAATTAAACGTACCGTACAAAATGTGAAAAAGCGTTTGATTTTTTTTTTTAGATTTTAAACGCTAACATTTGGCAAACTAAACTATGAAAAATTCCGGACATTACAAAAAAATACGAAAACTAGTACATAGCTGTTATTGTAGAGGGTGAAGCAATTCAGGAAAAATTAAATGTGGAGGTTGGAATAAAATTGACGACGTAATTTTTTTTTGGGAACTGTCTAGTGACGTTATCCAAATACAAATTAATTTTGGCAATCTGCTTTAAACTTTAGGAGCCGACATAAAATACGCCACTCAGAATTTCCCTTTTTTGGA